GCAATTGGTGAGGAGCTATCTGGATATAGCACCATTTAACTTGTCAACCTGCTGAGTAGCTGGCTGCCACTTGCGCCGTTGAAACCTAGGCCAGCAGGACTGAGGTGGCATGTGTTTGCTGAGTGCAGTGACACTGATTTTCATGTTGCCAGATGATACACCAGCAGCCCAACCCCGGCGTGCACTACGAGTACGTCATCATGGGCACCAACGCCATCAGCCCGCAGGTGCCGCCACAGAGGAGACCAGGTAGGAGTCCTGTCTTGCTGCAAAGCACGTCGGGTCACTGACTTACAGCCTCTCTCTCTCTCTCTCCTTCCTGTGTGCACCCTCCAGCTCTAAGCGGTGCAGAGAAAACCTGCATACAGTCAGGGAACCTTGAGGCCAGAGCATGCCATGCGTTCTTCCAAGTCTCACTATCAAGACTGTTTCAGCCACTTGATTTAAAAGCAAATGAGCATCCTCATCCACCTTTCCAATCTTTTTTTGAGAGGTCTCCTGTTCATTTCCTCTTACTGCTGTAGCCAAGCACCTCCTGCCTAGTGGCTCAGAGCAAGGCACATTCGCTGTCCCGTCGTTCTGCAGTGCCTGAGTCTGAAGGGTTTCGCTTGACCAAAATCAAGGTGGCAGCAGGCCCAGGCTCACTAGTCTAGGGCAGAACCTGGAGTCCCCTGTCTTCTTGGTTCCTGGCCCCTTCCTCTACTTCCCATCTGTTTCCTCCTCCCGTTCTGGATTCTTCTATCCTTCTGTCCACTTCTCATTTTCCTGTGTTTGTCCTTTCCACAGAACTTTGAGATTATGTTTGGCCCCTCCAGGGAAAAAAACCCATCTCACAATCCTTCATGCAATCACAGCCACACAGCTCCTTCTACCATGTGCAGTCACAGATTCCAGAAAGTCATTAGAACCTTTCCCTAATTTTGCTTTTTTTCTTGGTCATCTACTTCCTCTGTTGATAGCCTTTGGACAGCTAAAAAAAAAAAAAAAAGATGACCAGTGCACGGACAAGCTGTTGACCTGGGTGGGGGGCTCCCAGGATGCTGCTGGTAGACGGAGCGGGGGGTTTGGGTGCTGAGCTGGACAGGGCTCTGCTGTCTGCACCATCACCCCAGTGGCTGGGAAGGGAGCCTGCTCCCTAGGGGAGGCCGCGGAGGGGCCCTGGGCCCTTGGCCTCTGAAATCTCACCACAGTGATCAGAAGGAAGGACTACCATACTGTTGGCCTCATTAGAAGTGTAAGGAGGGGCCGGCCAGATAGCTCAGCAAAGTAAAGCGCCTGCTTAGGCAGAGTGCAGCAGCAAGGGTTCCATCCCCGGCATGCCCTGCCAGCCCTGCCTCCGGAGCACGCTGAGACAGCGATTGAGACTGGGTGTGATGGCACGTGCCTGTAATCCCAGCACTTGGGAGGCTGAAGGCAGGAGAATCACTGCAAGTCCAATCTATGTAGTGAGACCCTGTAGACCCTGTACTAAGTACATTTTAAAAAAAAAAAGTGGAAGCGTAAGAAGGCTAAGTTGTTCATCCATGGCTTACACTTGCCCAGTGACCTCAGGATGCACTGTGTGCCTAAGCCCTGAGCTTGTTCTGCTGCCTGGAGGGCTCCTGGTTCCATGCCTGTCCCAGAAGGGCAGGGACAAATGCCAGAGCTGGCTGAACCATCCTTCTGTGGGCTGCAGGCTGGGTAACTGGTCATCTGCCTGATACGGGATGAGGAAGAGTAGACTGGCTGCCAGGAGATAGCAGGTGGGGGATGCCCAGCACAGGGGATGGGGTGCTGCCTACACCCCAAGGCAGCACAGCACCGGAGAGAGAATCAGTGTGCCCTTTCAGTCATGCACAGTCTAAGGAAGCAAATTTCTCATGGAAAACACTAGGGTTTCTGGGACCTGTGGTTTATTTTTAGGAACAGTTGGACTCACTGAAATCAAGTGCTGTGGTGATGTTTGAGAATAGGCCAATGGGTCCAGCCCATAGGGAGCAGGAGGTTCTGGGGTCAACGTCCTGGGACAGCACAGCTCAGAAGGGCTCAGTTATACATAGGGAGAGGGAAAGGCATTAGGAGCCAGGCTCCCTGCTCCACATGGACAGGCCGGAGAGCCACAGTCCGAATCCCCTTCCGCCACTTTCTTGCTGTGTGCCCCAGACAAGTTAGTAACTTCTCTGAATGTATCCCTGGGCCGCAAGAAAGAAACGATATTCAAAAGTAGTCTTTGGGGATGTGGAGGGAGGTGAATAACCCAGGTATCCATCGGAGTGTAGGGCCAGCATATAGAAGACACGGGGAAGGTTCAGGAAGGCTTTTGTCTGAGAGTCCCCTGGACAGCCACGTGGACATCGGCGTGCCTGGCCTTCGGTCTGCTGGTTCGATCTTCACCTCCTACTTTCAACCCCATAGTTTCCCTAATTAACCCATTAAAATTCTGGTAAAAGAGGGAGAGAGCCCCAGTATTGTCCTACAGTAACTCTGGAATTTACCTCCTTACTTTTTACTAAACTGGTACACACTTGAACAATATCAAAGCAAAACAAAATAAATACATTCAAAATACCTGTCCCATGGGGGTGGGGATAGCTCAGCGGCCTAAGCACCTGCCTGGCAAGCACAGGGCCCTGAGTTTGATCCCCAGTACTGAAAAACAAACAAACAACAACAACAAAAATACCACCTGCCCTGTAATTGCCCCAACATGTACTTCAGTGGGTGGATGGATTAACAGCGCTAGAATAGATGCAGGCGGTGGAATAGCATTTGGTAGTGAGAATGAAAGCTTCCAAGCCCCCAAAAGACAGAGAACCTAAAGCGCATGCTGCTAAGCCAAGAAAGGCCATCTGAAGCGGCTGCATCCTGACTGATTCCAGCTATATGATGTTCGAGAAAAGGTGAGATTATGGAGACAATCAGTGGTTGCCTGGAGTGGCAGGAGAGACTGGTGGCACCATCCCATGGATGCGTGTTGGCTGATGTGGGTCCAGACGCATCAATGTTTGTCACCAAGCGTGGACCTCATGGGGATCGTGGACTCTGGTCGACGCTGACGTGGTGCTGGGCTTCATCAGTGTGACGAGTGTGCCCCGGGGCGTGGGCTGTGGATAGCGAGGCTGTGCGCGTGCGGCAGAGGCTCCAGTGCCTTCCACTCAGTTTTGCCAAAAACTTGCTCTAAAATTTTTTTTTTACAAAAAGCAACAGCCCCCTGCCCCATCCTCTCCCCAGGAGGAATCTCTTCACAATTTAATTTGATGGGATTCTGCCTAAGCCCTTTCTATCCATGTGCAAACATGTCTGCAGCGGATTTGACTCTTGGTCTAAGTCTCAGACATACACGGAACAGCGAGTATTATTATCTTTCATTTGTCAGCTTAATCCAACCTCAACTTCAGGGTTTTGAAACTGGTAAAAAAAAAAAAAAATCAATTTCAGGCAGTATGGGAACTACACAGACAGACAGACAGACAGACAGACAGACACACACACACACACACACACACACACACACACACACACACACTGTCCTGGCAAAGGGGACAGACCCCAAGGCCTCAGCAGGCGGTGGACCACACCCTCGAGATCTCTGCATATCAGCTCCACTGAGGTGCCCCCAGGAGGGTCCTTGTGCCTCTTCCGACCTGCGCCAGGTGCTAGGATGCTGGAGAGGGTGGCAGCCAAGACCCCAGTGCTACCCCAGACGTGGCCTCCTGCTGCGTGGCACAGGAGGCTGAGCAACCCCAGCCTCCCCCTTCAGTGCAGTCTCCACCGTCCCATCCACTCCGCCCACCTCCTTCGCTTCCTCTCTCTCCTCCTCCCCACCACCTCCTCTCCTTCCCCCACCTCCCCCTCAGCCAACGCCCCTGGACTTCCCCTTTCCCCTCCTTGAGAGTCCAGGCTTGTGCCTTGGTAAGAGAGCCGATGACTTTGAGAAGCTTTCAGAAAACCCAAAGGCGCAGCTACCCTCTCCAACCCGGGATCCAGGAAGGCCGGTGAAGGCAGAGAACCGGACACATTAATATTTCAAGCGACCCACCACATCTGTGCGTGGGTGAATCTTACGCTTCCTTTGTACTGTCGCTGATTGGGCGCCATACAGGACCCCTGCGACCCCATCAGAACATACATATCTTCGTTCCTGTTTAAAAAAGTGTCACATCATACAGTTTAACCACTGCCACCAGTGAACATTGCAGTCCTCTCTGCTGTTTTACTCTTTCAAATAATACTTTAGCAACAGTCTGTGTATGTCCCACTCTATGTAAAAGGACAGTGGCAGCCCAGGGATACAGCTCAGCCACACAGCTGCTGCCTGGCAAGTATGAGGTCCTGAGTTCAAGTTCCAGTACTTGGGGCAGGGGGCGGGAGACAATGTCTAGCTGATGAAAATTCTAGAAACTGAGCCACTGAATCTCCATTTCAGTGTTGGTAGCTGAGGCCAAGCTGTCCTCCAAAACTTGGCGTCTGCTCTTGTGCTCATTCACAGTGAGTGACCGTGTTTCCTGCACCTGTGGCCAGGGGCTTAGGGACTTCCAGGTTTTCTAACTCTCCAGTCCTCATTAGGTAGTTATCAACGTGCGTGTTCTTGTCTCTGTAGGCGTTTCTTTCATTATGAGTGGTGTATTTCGGGGTGTTTCTTTTTCTTTTTTACGGGAACCATTGCTCCATTACCTTGCCCTCTTCTCCTGTTGGGATGGCCATCTTTTTCTTGCTGATTTTTGATAACATTTTGGGTGTTAGGGGAGTTTGTGTCTGTTTCGCATAAGTATCACATGCTCGGTATTGCGGAGTAGACGTGATCTTGCCCACCATGATTTCTGACAGTGAGGCCATGTCCTCTTTCTACTCTGTGTCCACCCTGGTTGTGTGTGTGTGTGTGTGTGTGTGTGTGTGTGTGTGTGTGTCGCCTGCCTATCCCAGGGGAGCCCCTCAATGGCCAGCTGGATGCAGAAGGCCGGAGCCAGGAAGGCAGAGAGGAGGAGAGAGCGGAAGAGAAGCAGGGCTCGCGTGGGGAAGCCCGGGAGGTCTTCACCTCCGAAGCCGCCCAGACTTTCTCCGTCAGGCTTCCAGACAGATTCTCTTCCCATCGGCCGGACAACTCGGTGCCACCAGCACCGCAGCCCCCGAGGCGGAGCCGGGATCACAACTGGAAACAGCTGGGGATCACAGAGTGCTCCACAACCTGTGGGAAAGGTGAGCCTGCATGTGGCACGTGGGCCTGCAGGGCCCAGGCCAGGAAGGGAGGGGCGCAGGAACAGGGCATCCCTCGCCCCTCAAACCTGCCTGTGAGATGGAACATTTGTGTGAAGTGTTGTAGTAACGGTCCTGAGATGCCCCATCAAAGGCCCCCAGATGCTGCCCTAAGTTCTGGGGTCCAGGGTTTTTCTGGGGCCGGGTCACTTAGGCATAGCAGTCAGTTACCCCAGACCTCAGCTATCCAGAGGTCAAGGCCAAGGCCAAGCCTTGGGTATCCAAAAGCAGCGTCTGTTTTAAATCACATCATTGTCCTAAATCATGCTGTCAAACCCACAAGGCAGGGCCCAAGTTCTGAGTAGAGAAACACACCTCTCAGGTAGGGCATCCCCAGGAAGCATACCCACCTCCAGAAGCTGGTCAAGGGTCACACCTGAGGGCGAGCCTGCCTCCACACCTCAGGATTTGGGTTCCCCAGGCCTGCTGAGCTAAGCCAGCCCTGGACATCGATGTTCATTGATAACCAGGGAATACACTCAAGATCTGAAAGTTTATGCACAGGGCTAGGCTGGGGAGAACTTATAAGAATGTCATCTGAAATGCAGCCTCAAATTTAAGGATTGCAGAAGGGACCAACTCCCTTCCACATGCTCCCAATAAAGTCTTCCCTATGAACTCATCGACTGTGCCTGACGTAGTTAGCTAGGACCACCAGGGACAAGCTGTAACCTAACAAAGCCAGCTTTATTAATTCCGTGCACACAGGAGATCCATACCTGACAGTCATCTCTCCAAACAAAAGGAAAAAAATAGTTCCAGGCTTTGGGAGATAGGGAGACTTTCAGAGCTGTTTTTTATTTTGTTTTGGTTTTGATTTTGTTTGTTTGTTTAATGTATTTGGTTGTTGCAGGATCTCACTACGCAGCTCAGACTCATGGTGATCCTCCTGCTTTCAGCCTCCCCAGCGCTGGGATTACAGGCATGCGCCACCACGCCCAGACTCTGGCCAGCTCAGGCTGGCCTGGGTATGGGGCTGGTGCAGCATGTGGTGCTAGGGATTGAACTGTGGTCCCTGCACTTGCCTAAGCTTGCCTAAGCAGGCGCTTTAGTCCGATGAGCTATCTCGCCACCGGGAAGCTGGGTTTTGATAGGCTCAAAGCAAAGCATGGCTGTGTAAAAGGGTCAACGTCAAGTCTGAATGTGATGTGGACCCAGGGCCCCATTTCCCTGGAAATTCTCTGCTTCGGATAGATGTGAGATGTGGTGTCCAGAGCCCCCTTAAGTGACACAGAGTCCCTGGGTTGGAAACCCACGCTGCTCCTGTTCTATGGTGACTTAAATCTCCTTGCAAGGATAGGTCTACAAAATGTGTAAAGTGCCCTTCATGTGTATGATAGTAGTCTTTCATTTATAGTAAAGTTCTGGTGGAGGGAGAAATAGCTCAGCAGTCTAAGCACCTGCCTGGCAAGCAAAAGGATCTGGTTCAATCCCCTGTGCTGTGCCAACCCCGCCCCATGTGCTGGCCCAGCCCCAGATTGGGCGTAGTAGTGTACTCCTGTAATCCCAGCACTGGGGAGGCTAAGACAGGAGGATCACTATGAGTCTGAGCTGCTTAGTGAGACAAGTATTTGTACCAAATACATTTTAAAAAAATAAATAAATAGGGCTGGCCAAATAGCTGAAAAATCCCTCACAACTGCTTCTAAAACTTTCGTCTTTTTCATGGAAGCGTTGGGCTAGGGATTTTGAGACTAAGATCTAGGTCTTTAGTTCTTTTTGGAACTGGAGGATCTTTCTACCCAATTCCATAATGGCTTGGTGACTGGTGTGTTGATTTGTAGAGGGTTTACTGAGTCAATTTGATTGTGTTCATACTGTATACTTGTGCTAAGAATGTAGACCAGAGATTCACTGAATGGGCTTTCTTTTTATATATAAGCTCTGTGGGGGGAAATTAACTGCCTTAGATTGTGTCTTGGCAGAGTGAAAAAGTGGAAGATAATCCTGCGTTGAGGCCAAAATCATTTTAATAAGATTCCAACCATGACACTGTAGAAAGGGGGACTGTCCTGCAGATATTTAAACTGACCCAAGGAAAAAAAAAAAAAACTGCTATAGCCTTGGGGTCCAGAGCTGTAGATCTGGGGTTTTCTTGAGAAACTAAGGGCCCTGATTTCATTCCCTTGCTTCCTTTCCCTGGAGCTGGACTATGGATGAGGAGAGGGCAGGAGGCGCCCCACGGCCACCTGCCACCCAGCCCCAACAGAAGCCATCCTTGCAGGCACCGAATGACCCTGTGGCATCCTGTCTCCCCTTAGCTAAGAATACTAGGTGTCCCCTGATGAGGGACAAGAGGTTGGCACAGGGCCTCTGCTTGCCAGTCCACCGGCCTGTAAGCAGCAAAGCCTATGCCACAGGATCTGGAGGGAAAGGAACAGGTTGCATAAGATCTTTACTTAATTCTTTAGTAGCTGAGTTCCAAGCGGCACATTGCATACAGTGATCTGAGGCCCAGTCATTTTTATAACTCAGAACATGTTTGCTGGCTGTAATTAAAGTCTCTTTAATGGAAGGAGATACAGAGCTGAATAAAATTCAACCCCACAAAAGTTTTTGATTCCCATTAATTTTACAGTCAGGGCTGCTTTTCATTCAGCTAACAATTAGGCTTAATTGGAATGTTATTTTAAATAATGGTCTCGAGTTATAGCTGCCGTGTAAATTTTTACTGCCAGAGTAATTTAAACAAATGATCGCTTCAGATTCCGATGTGCCTTACAAACTGTCGAGTTCCTTACACCAACTGCCCTCCGACTCGGTGCGCAGAGGACTTGCGTGGCTGCTGACCTAGGAAGATACTTAGGTTAAAACTTACCCTTCGGGCCAGGCATGGTGGCACATGCCTACGAGGCTGAGGCAAGAGGACTGCCACGAGTTGGAGCCCAGCCTGGGCTACACAGAGAGACGAAATAAAACAAGTTAGCCTTAATGTTACAATGAAATTTGAAAGGTGGAGGCCCCAAAAAATAAATATCTGGCCAGTTATCAACAGAAAGAAGCAGAGTCTTGGAAGAAATGACAGGGTTCGTCCCTGCAGGCGCTATGTCCTGGCTACTCCAGGGCCGGGCAGATGTGGACAGCTGTGCGAAGGTGATTGGTGGGAACGGGGCATCCTTACTTTTTCTCATTTCCTGGACATGTGTTAGTAGTGCCACAGTCCTACCAGCAGATGGCAGCAGAGACAGAAAGGCAAAGGACAGATTAAAAATTTCACTAAACAAATTCTGGCTTTTTTTGTTTGTTTGTTTGTTTTTGTTTGTTTGTTTGTTTTTTGTTTGTTTGTTTGTTTGTTTGTTTTTTAGGGAAGGGTCTACAGAGTGTTCAGGGTCCCACTACTAGATCAGACTCAGTGATCCGCCTGTTTACAGCCTCCCAAGAGCTGAGATTATAGGTGTGAGCCACCACGCCCAGTCTGAATTGCCTCAGCACCCACCGGGGGTGGGGCGGGCACGGCAGGCCTAAGGATTGAATCCCTGGCCCCTGCACCTGCTTGCAGGTACTTTAATCCGCTGAGCTAATTGGCCAGTCTCAAATTCTGGCTTTTTATCCACCATCATTTTATCTTTATTAAACCGACAGAACTAGGTAATGCATTTAAATCCAAAACCTGTAAGTATTATACCTCTGATACACACGCATTCAGCAAATGTGTACTTGAACCACCCTCTCCGCTAGCCTCTGGTGACAGAAGTGGACAGAGCCAGAGGGGGTGGGAGGGAGGGTGGCCCTGGCTGGTCCAGGTATCCCTTCCGCCCCCAAAGCCTTGCATCTGCACAGAGGCTGAGGCCAGCTCTCTCTGCAGGCCAGGTGACTGCAGGCCCTCGGGCCCTGTCTTGCAGGCTCGCAGTATCCAATTTTCCGCTGTGTGCACAGAAGCACCCATGAAGAGGTTCCTGAGAGCTACTGTGACCCCAGCATGAAGCCGACCCCCGAGGAGGAGCCCTGCAACCTCTTCCCCTGCCCGGCCTTGTAAGAGCAGTGTCTAGGCCTCGGGGTGGCTGGTGGCTAGCCCAGGCCCTTAGGAGCGGATGGGGCTGTGTTTTCCATTAGCAGCTCCCTGGATTAGAAGCACAGATGTGGTCCCTGGTGTAGGGTGCAGCCCACGAGCAGCCCGCCTGTCTCTGGAGCACAGTGTCAATCCCTGCGGAAGGAGGTTCAGGCAGGAAAGCAGACCCAGGGTGCAGCAGGTCCCCTAGAAGGGATGGGGAGAGCACTAGGAGCTGGCTCTGGCTGCTGTGGGGTGATACGCAGGCCTGAGCAAATTGGTGCTCATCTGGATGCAGAAGAAGCACGCGCCGCTGTCTCACTTAAGTAACTAATAAGAAGCCCGGCGTGGTAGCACTCGCCTGTAATCCTGGCACTCAGGAGGCTGAGGCAGGAAGGATCACCGGGAGCTCCAAGCCAGCTTGGGCAACATAGCAAGAGCCAATCTCGAAACAAAACAAGTAGCTCATGAGAGTAGGTTGGTGGAAGAGGGTGTGTGTGTGTGTGTGTAGACAATGAAATGCAAAGGGTGCCTCACTCCCAAGTGGGTCCATGGTCCACAGAGAACAAGCTAGCCTTGGCAGCCCTGGGTTTTCAGGTCTGCTCATCTGATGGAAGTCCTGTATACCTTCTCCGTTTTCTGTATCCATGTGCAGAAGGTGGCCCCATCACTAGCCGACCACATGTGAAACAGAAACACCTCCCTCCAGCATCCTGTGACCACTAGGCAGGCACTGGAGGTGCTCTAGGAGGACCCCCCAGCCCGTGGGCTCTGACACCCACATAGGTGGGCTGTGTGGGTGTCCCCCCTCCCACTGACCTGAGCCTCTGTCTCTCTCTCGCCCCTCCTGAGCCAGCTGGGACATCGGGGAGTGGTCTGAGTGTAGCAAGACCTGCGGGCTGGGTATGCAGCACAGGCAGGTCCTGTGCCGCCAGGTCTATGCCAACCGCAGCCTCACGGTGCAACCCTACCGCTGCCAGCACCTGGAGAAACCCGAGACCACCAGCACGTGCCAGCTCAAGATCTGCAGTGAGTGGCAGATCCGCACCGACTGGACCTCAGTAAGGCCCTCCTTCCTGCCCCTCCCCTCTGACTCTCTCTACTCCCCTTCCCTCCCCCTTACCCTCCTCTCCCTCTGCCCACTCTTTTCCTCCCACTCTCCCCTTCCCCTCTCTTTTCCTTCCCCCTCTCTTTTCCCTCCCTCTATCCCCTCCCCTCTCCTTTCTCTCTGCTTTCCCCTCTGCCCTCCCCTCTCTATACCCTCCCACCCTCTCTCCTCCCCCTCATTTCCCTCCCCCTCTCCCTCCCCTTTTCCCATCCCCCTGCACCAGGACAAGGTGAGGAACCACCCCAGGGGTGCTCACCAGCTGTGTTTGCAGATCACAGTGACACCAACAGCTGGACAGGGTCCAGGCCAGGGCAGCTCACCCCAGCCCTCCTTGTGATGAGCCCATGGCTCCTGTGTCTCCTGACCTTGTCAGTTTTGTGTGCCATGGGGAATTGGGGCCAGGTGTGGTGGCATACGCCTGTCATTCCAGCCCTCAGGAGGTTGAGGCAGCAAGATCACCCTGAGTTCAAAGCCAGCCTGAACTACACAGCAGATCCTGTCTCAGAACAAACCAAAAATACAAACAATAATCGAAGTCAATTCCTTCCAATTTTGCTCTATTTTGTAGGTTGGAAAACCAGGGCCCGGAGGAATGAAGTAGGCAGGATTCCCTGGGGTGCTCCTGGGCATCCCCGCAATGCAGGTGGCCTCACCCAGCTCAGGGGCAGGTGGCACCGAATGAGGCCAAAGGGCGCTGACGGGCACTTGCTGTGTTTCAGTGCTCCGTGCCCTGCGGCGTGGGACAGAGAACCCGGGATGTGAAGTGCGTGAGCAACCTGGGGGACGTGGTGGCAGACGAGGAATGCAACATGAAGCTGCGGCCCAGCGACATCGAGAACTGCGACATGGGCCCCTGCGCCAAGAGCTGGTTCCTCACTGAGTGGAGCGAGAGGGTGGGTGCCCCGAGCTCGCTGGCAGAGCCTGAGCAGGCCGCGGGCTGGTGGAGGCAGGAGGTGGAGGGAAGGCCGAGGGTCGTCATCCAGCGGTGTCCTCTCTGGACGGCTGAGAACTGGAGGCTGAGGAACTGGGAATGGAAGGAGTTCGCGGGGTCTCCGCGTCCCTCGTGAACTGTGCAGGGGGAAGCGCGGAGAGAAACGCTTCCCTCCTTCCGATGTGCTGTGCCTGCTGCGAATGGGGGCCTCAGCCAGTGGTGGCGCCTTCCCCCAGCGGCCTGGCCCCTCTAAACTGAATCTGGAGTGGCCAGGGAGGCCCTGTCTGAAAAAATGAAGACAGGTACAGGGAGAGTGTGGCAGTGCGCGCCCATAATCCCGGCGCTCCGGAGACTGAGGCAGCAAGCCCTTGTCTCAGAAGCAAACAGAAAAAAAAAGGCAAGAAAAAAAAAAAAAAAGCAAAAGGGCCTGTAAGGGGTAGCCACCGCTGGGGTGCAGTGAGTGAGCTGAGGCTGAGTGCGAAGCGGCGGAGGAGGGCCCAGGAGAGGTGTCACACCGCCAGGGGCGCCCTGGTTCACCTGTCTGTCCTCCTTGTCCCGCAGTGCTCGGCGGAGTGCGGGGCCGGCGTGCGGACGCGCTCCGTGGTGTGCATGACCAACCACGTCAGCAGCCTGCCTCTGGAGGGCTGCGGGAACAACCGGCCGGCCGAGGCCACCCCGTGTGACAACGGGCCCTGTGCCGGCAAGGTGGAGTGGTTCTCGGGGAGCTGGAGTCAGGTGAGTGTGAGGACCAGGGCCGGCGTGTGGGTCTGGCCCAGCTTTGAGTCCAGCTGGGCCGCTGCTGCCAGTGACCCTGGAGAAGACACTACAGCGCCGTCGGCGCCCCGTTCAGCCACTACCAAGAGATGCTCATTTTTTTTTTAATTAACTTTATTGAGAAAACAATTGCAATGAGACAGTTTCAAAACAGGTTGGTAGGAGAGTTACAACAATTAACACATTGCATGTTGTTGTCTTTATAGTAGTCATTCATAGCACAAGATGCCGACATGATATCCTGTCCAAACACTATTAGTACAAATCATTCTTCCTACTGAATTAAGAGGAAGTGGCTATATATCTATCCTAACAATTTTGTTTATACAGATACAAAATTGCCCTTCATTTATAGCTCCTTTTTATGTTTCATTTTGTCAGAGATGGGTATTCCATTGCCATCCAAATATTGTAGGTGCACGAATTCAACAAAATATTCCAATATAGTCCAGTAGTCCACAATAGTAGTGGGTTATCCACAGGACTGGCAATGTCCGAATCTATTGATTTGAACCTTCCACAGCTCTGCATATTAACATGGCTTCACTTTTCATACCTCATTTCTACACCTTTCTGCTGGATGGATAAGACCAAGATAAAGCAAGACCTATATATCAAGAAATGTGAGGTGCTCATTGAAGAACTTGGCCTCACCCAGCGCCCCTGCTCCTGGGGCATCTGAACTGGCACAAGTTGCTTGTCTGTAAGACGGTGGAGACAATGGCTCCATGTGAGGTCATGAAATTAAAGCCCCTTTATATGACAGAGCACCTGACATGTAAAAAACACTGGAAGTGTTTTTTAAAAAACACTTCTACTGCTGCTTCCAGGAATTAATCAGGCTTTTTTTTTTTTGGCGGAACCAGCAGAACCGGGCATTGAACTCAGGCCCTTGTACTTGCCAGGGAAGTGCTTATTCTAGTGAGCCATCTTCCTGGTCCCTAAACCTGGCTTTGTTTACACTTCCATGTCTGAAGCTGAAATGGTAAATGTCAGAGTTGCAAATTATAAAGAGCAGATCGCAGCAAATGCTTAATAAAATAACAAATAAATGAGCTCCGTGTTTCCCGCCCAGTCCTGCACATGAAGCCTTTAGGGAACTGGGATCAGTCATTCCCCACCCACGTCTTTGCAATTCCTGCTGCCTTCCAGGTCTTGGGCCACTTGGCATTTGGCCTGCAGTACTGCCTGGCTCCATAGGGACAGTTTGACCAATGCTCTGCATGTGAGCATTTGTGGGGCCTCTGGTGCCAAAGGGAATTGGATTTCTTTTAAGTGACTTTAAAACCAGACCTTAAAAAATCAGCTGCCTTGTCCTTCTAAATTGATACAGGTCCTTTGGAAAGCAGTTTAGCAATAAAAGTCAAGCACAAAAATACTTATTTGCCTTCAGTCTACTCCTAGGGAAGTAAACAATCACAAAAGATAAAAGGATTTTCACCTAAGCGTGGTAGCCTGTATCTGTAATCCCAGCACAGAGGAGGCTGAGGCAGGAAGATCAACACAAGTTTGGGGCCAACCTAAGATGCACTGAGTTCAAGGCCAGCCTGAGCCACAGAGCAAGACCCTGTCTCAAAACTAAAAACAAAACAGTATTAAGGGGAAACCAAGCATTAACAAAAAACATTTTACGATGTAATACGTACTCTCTGGGTGCAGACCACTACCTGCACCCTATTTTATGGGCTGACAGTATATGCTCCCTTCCCCCCACACCATGGCATCATCACCTGCCTGGCCTCAGTGGGCACTGTGCATGTGGGCTTCAGCTGCTTCCTGGGGAAAAGCAGAGCATACCATGGGCGAAGTTCCTCCCCACTTCCCTGTTGGGCAGGGGGCAGTCGGCATGAGGACATCGTCCCACATCTGGAGTGCTCTGCTCCATCCATGTGTCTGAAGAATTTGACCTGAGCCCTCCATCCGCAGCTCAACAGCTCTGGGAGGCTGACATCCTAACCCAAACCCTAACCATCCCCCCCCCAAGAGACCCGTAGCGAAAACCAGGCATCAGTCCATTGTTGTGGCAGGGACACCTCTGAGCGATGTCGGAGTCCACCAGACCGAAACAACCACAGCGACTGGCTGCTGGTTGCTGTAAAGAGTTTGAGGGGAGCTGTTCATGCTGGCACAGAAGGCAGCGTCACTGCGGGGACCAGCGTCCTTAGACCTGATGCCTTACACTCAGGGCACTGAGACCCCTCGCTGGGGACAGAGCTGCTAGGAAAACCTGAATCCACATGCAGCTTCTGCAGAAGCATTTTCAGGTCCCCAGGTTTCTCCCTCACAGGGTTGGTGCAGAACAGATGCTGTCCCCTGATGGACAGTCCTTCCCATCGCCTTCCTGTCCGGCCGTCGAGTGACACGACCCTTCTTTGCTCCTTTGTCCAGTGCTCCATGGAGTGCGGGAATGGGACCCAGCAGCGGGAGGTGATTTGTGTCAGGAAGAACGCAGAGGCCTTCGCTGTGCTGGACCCCTACGAGTGTGCCTTCCTGGAGCGACCCCACAGCCAGCAGCCCTGCCACCTCAGGCCATGTGGAGCCAAGTGGTTTAGCACGGAGTGGAGCATGGTGAGTGGTGGGCTTTTCATGGAGTCACTTTAAAGTGACTTCTCAGGGCCGGAGAGAGAGCTCAGAGGTATAAGCACCTACCTGGAAAGCACAAGGACCCAAGTGCAATCACTGGCCCCACATGTCATGTGGCCCTGGCCCCAGATCCCCCGGCACACCGTCTTGGCCCCAGAACCAGGCATGGTGGTACATGCCTATAATCCCAGAACTTGGGAGGTTGAGCCAGGAGGATCTCTGTGAATTTGAGGCCAGCCTGGGGGGCTACAAAAAGTGAGCACAAAGCCAGCCTGAACTGCATAGTGAGACCCTGTCTCAATAAATAAAGAATAATAATAATAAAGTGACTTCTCCACTTGCCTTCCTTAACTGCCTGCCTCGTGGCCAGATCCCCATAGTGACCCATTCTATGGGCAGCTCAGCAACCTGCTCAATCGGGGAAACAGTGACACCCAAGCTTCTCTGAGAATCCTATTTAAAAAGACCAACTATAAGCCCATCCTGGCCAAGGAACTTTGTTTGTTTGCTTGGTATATTTGAGACAGAGTCTCATATGCAGTTGAAGCTGGCCATGAGCTCACTTTATAGCCCAGGCTGGCCTCAAACTTGCAGCAATCTTCCTGCCTCAGCCTCCCAAGTCCTGGGATTACAGGCATATACCTCCACACCAAGCTAGAAACTTGCATTTTAAGAAACAGGACGCAGATGTCCTTGACCTGCTTTTGAGAAACACTGCTGCAGAGGGGTAAGTGAAGACAGAAGGAATTTGATTACCCAGTAAACTTGGAGATTAACCCATCTTAAAAATATTTTCTAGTTTCAACTTCCAAAGAAGCCTAGAAACAGTGTTAAACCCAGAAGGGAAGGGCACTCCTGCATCCTGAATGTGGCTCTTGAGAAGCCACTTGCCACAACCAAGAACTGGAGATTCTAAGAGGAATGGAGGATTCCAGATCTGGGCAAGCTTTCCATACATGGCAATAAGGAAGTTCAGCAGAATTTACATCCAGAAGGATTCAAGAAGCAACTCCCAGAGTCTACTGTTCACACTGCCCTAGTGATGGGGCAGTGTCTACAGTAGTAAAAACACCAACTATAGTAGATTTATTTTTTAATATATTTTAGGGAAGGGTCTACAGGGTGTTCAGGGTCTCACTACCAGATCAGACCATAGTGGATTTGAATGAAACGCATTACACATGTTTAACCACATCCATTTGTAACAATATTTAAGAACTAATAGGCACCATCCTAATCTACTAGGGAACCAACTCATTCTAAAAAAGTAGAATGTAAAGAGAAAGAAGCAAGCATTTATTTAGTCTTTTTCTAAAATAGAAAAGTTGTATACTGGATAACAAAAAAGTAAATGTGAGAGTGGGAGAAGTAGGATTCTTAAAAGAAGAAAGGGTTGGATTGGAAAATCACCATCTTCAGCTCCAAATGAACTAATGGGTCTACATATCAGTAACAGTTAATGTCCCCAGAACAGGGCCAAACATACAGTTCTGTGAATCAAACCAGCCCCTGGGAAGGTCTCTTCTAGATCCAACTTCCAAGTAACACAAACAGTGATACCTTGGTTTACAAACTTAATTTGTTCTACAATGCTGGGGAAGAGGGCTGCTGTTATATTTGTTGTCCAACGTGGAGCTCACACATGGAAGCAAACTTTTGCCCAATGCTTCTGTCTACAAACCAAATTGTTCATAAACACAAGTATTCGTGAACCGAGGTGTTACTGTACAGGGAATAGAGGCACACGTTAAAACACACCATGGGGTTGCTGTCAGCAAAATACAGACTCTGAGCAACTATGCAGAACCCATGGCTCAGCTTCTCCAATCAAATAAAAATAAGTACAGTAATTATTATGCCACAGCTAGGGGAAGAGGCAGCACAAGAGAAAAAGACAAAGTAGAGAAAATGTGTGGATTAAACAAGGCAAATAAAAGACAATGAGTTGCAATATGCAAGCCTGATATGGATCCTGATTTTTATGCCAAAAGAATCACTTTGAAAATCTATGAGTTTCATGAGAAAAACAGAAACTGTATATCTAAAGATAAGGAAATGTTGTTAATTTTTAGGTGTGATAATGATATTGTGATTCTTAAGAGTCCTTGTCTGGTAGAGGTACAAAGTAAAATTTATAGAAAGAGTGTTATGATCTCTAGATCTGCTTCAAAACAGAATGAGAAGGAGCCGGGGAGATGGCTCAGTGGAATAAGCACTTCCCTGGCAAGCGCAAGAGCCTGAGTTCAATCCCCAGTTCCACCAAAAAAAAAAAACAGAGTAAGAGTAGAATGTGTAGGGGCAGATGGGCACCATTAGCACAAGTCGCTAGTTACTGACGCTGGCTGACAGGTACCTGGGAGTCTGATTGGCTGCTCCACCTCCTTTTTGGAGATGTTAGATATTCCTCGACATCTTCCCTGTTGGTGTGCAGAGCTGACTTCCGCTTTGTCTCCACACAGTGCTCCAAGAGCTGCCAGGGTGGCTTCCGGGTCCGGGAAGTGAGGTGTCTGGCAGATGACATGAGCCTGAGTAATCTCTGCGACCCTCAGCTGAAACCAGAGGAGAGAGAATCCTGCAATCCTCAGGATTGTGTTCCTGAAATTGGTGAGTAGAGGTTCCTGACTTGGAGAAAAGCTCTGGTTTTTGTAAAGCTCTTTCAAGTTGTCTACTAAAAACTGCCACTTCCATCCAGGTCACCCTGTGACACTGTGCTCAGTTGCAGTATTCAGAAGGTCAACGCAGTTTTGACATTCTAAGTGTCATAGTTTAAAATGACTGTTCACAACATGGAAGGGTATCCAAACTGCCTACCAAAAGACAAACTTCAGGGCAAATTGATTAAAATAAAAATACATTTAAAAATTTGGTTCTACGATTAACCTTAAGGTCAAAATTGTCAAATGTGGGGCTGAGGGTGTAGCTCAGTGGCAGAGCACTTGCCGACTATGCCAAAGTCCCTGGATTCAGTCCCCAACTCCACAAAAAAATAAGATAAGTACTAAAATTTCACCTTAATTGTCCATGAGAGGGGCCACTGAGACATCCACAGCTGGGTGGTTGAGGAGGAGAGGGAGAGCCAGGAATGGGTAGACACACCTCCTGTTTCTGTCACCTCTCAGTAACGTCATTAAATCATGTTGTCACCCATGGATCAATCTGTGGGCCAAGTCAGAGCCCTGGTGCTTCTGTCACTGCTCTAGACCCACCTATGAGAATTGCTGTAACACATGAGTCCTTTGGGGATCACCTCATATCTAGAACATGACGCACAGGAAGAAAATTAACAAGCAGCCTCTAAGACTGGCAAGAGTAAAATTAAGAAAACCATGCTATGGAACATAAAAGGAAACATGAGTGGGTAGAACAGCTAACACTTCCTGAGAATTAAAGACTCACTATTTTAAAGATAATAAAAGAACTGCCTGAGCAGAGCGTGCCTTATGTATTGGTCAGCTCTTTGTTGTTATAGCAGAAATTCTAGAGTTTACTTAGCTTACAGGCACCAGACTTTGGTGATTAAATACCTGCCTTCATGAGTCAGGGGTCAAACTATGTTCAAGCATACGATGAAGCTACAGAAATGAAAACTATACGTTATTGACATAGACAAGGACAGGCATGCCAGTGTTACCTAGAGAATTCTGAAGCAGATTTCTTTACATAAGAGAAACTAGGGCTGGTGCAATAGCTCAGTGGACTAAGTGCAGGGACCAGGGCTCAATCCCCAGCGCCACATGCTGCCCTGGTCCCACTCCTGGGCACGCTGAGGCAGCTACCGAGACCAGGCATGGTAGTGCATGCCTATAATCCCAGTACTGGGGAGGCTGAGACCGGAGGATCACTACAAGTCTGAGCTGTGTAGTGAGATCCTGAACCAAATACATAAAAAAAAGAGAGAAAAAATTAAATGTGATAAAGATTGAATGTTAAGTGAGGAGCGACTCCCATTGTGTTGCAACAATCAAAATCTGTTTAAAAAAAAAAACTTAGGTCTTATATCACATACAAATAGCACACATGACTAATGGACTAAAGATCCTATCATAATACACACTGTAAAAGAGCAAGGAAAAGGCCTACATTTCACTAAATAGGTTAAAGCCTTCATAAGCATGATTACAAATCCAGAGGTTGTATTGCTAGCTGTGAAGTTTCAAACAATTTTCCTGGTAAGTCATCATACCTCAAGTTGAAAGGAAGAGGAGAGGGAAAGAAAGAGAACAGGAAAAATTGCTAGAAAAGATTTGAAACACATCTAAGGAGACGAGGATGTGTTAAAGACAGTGACCAAGTGGGAGGATTAGGAATAACACTTGCTACAATGACCTTGAGTCCCTTAGAACTGTCAGCGCCACACAGGTGAGACTTTATTTGAATTTGGATCTCAAGTTGTTATATGATTTTTAAAAACATTTATGTACATATTTGGTACAAGGTCTCACTATGCAGCTCAGACTCGCAGTGATCCTCCTGTCTGAGCCTCCCCAGTGCTGGGATTACAGGTGTGTGCCACCACGCCTGGCTTCAGTGGCAGGCACAGTGCACCCAGTGTTCTAGGAGCCAGTGTGGCGTGTAGTACTGAGGATTGAACCCCGTTCCTTGTTCTTGCCAGGCAGGCACTTAGACCACTGAGCTACCTGCCCAGCTCACCAATTAGTATATTATTTTAAAGGTCACATTGTGAATGCAACATTGAAAAGAAACACATATGCAGCCAGCTTGTCTTGGCCCAGGAACGTGGATAATGCGAGAAGGTCGAAATCGCCAGATCTGTGGAATTGCTTATATAAGTTTCAAAGCTCAGTGCGATTGGCAGAACCGATTCATGTGTTCCGAAGTTCTGCTGCTCAGCTAGCGTACACTTGTGAAAATTTCTTACTAATATGGTGTGACTTTTTTACTGCTAAATTAGCTTGTCTATGGTATCTTTGCAAGGAGAAAAAAATTGTTTGGCTTGATATGAAATCCAATTAAGGAAAAACAGAAAACTGCAAGATCAACAGAAGAGAATATGTAAATAAAAATTTGATAGTCTTTGATATGCCTCAAAATGGTACTTTCGGGGACAAAGCAACTAAAAACATCCAGGTCATGAGCCCTGTTATAAACCACAGAGCGCATACTTCCCAGGGGCTTGCTGTCTGGATTTGAAGGTAAAGAAAGGCAGGTGTATGGGGCTGGTGAGGTGGCTCAGTGGTCTAAAGCACCTACTTAGAACAAGCTTAGCAAAGCACAGGGACCGCGGTTCAATCCCCCAGCACCACATGCCAGCCAG